ATCATTTTTTGTGAGCGCTGTGTACGCCTGTCATCTGTATGTTCTTCTGCTTCTTTGTTTCTCATTGTATACGGCATATTAATTTGGTTGTCAACCTTGAACATGCAATTGGTGTACCTTTCCAATAAATAAATAAATAAATAAATAACCCACACACTCCTTCCTCTGTCCATGAGCTAAACCGTCTATAATCAATTCTAATTATAGGATAGATAAAACTCGAAACATCTTTGTTAACTCGCGGCGTTAAACTTACATGTGTATTAATGAAAAGTATTTTATAACCTCATAGAAATCAAATTATTCACACAGAGAATTAAAATTAAACACACTCATGCATCCGTTCACCTCTCACCGCTAAATATCATCACTTCACTTGACCTTGGGGAAGTTTCGAACACTGAATGTTCACTTACAGAAATAAAACGATGCCCCGAATCTACAAAGGTCAATTTACTATGAATCATCCTTTACTTTCGTAGAGTAGGCAGAAGTAAATGTCCTTTCAAAATTACATCTTATCATCGATAAGCAAAGGCTGTCTTTTTTAAACGAAAACTTTCCTCGTGCATTACTATTCACTGCACAATGATCTTCGTAAAAAGCGTATGTAGCTTAACACAAGTTAGCTAGCAACAAGATATATCTGCAAAGTAAAAGAGACGTTATATTGTGAGTAAATAATACGATTATTGCTTGAACACTTTTAGTACTCATCATGCATCACCATGTGAAGCTCTTAAGACTTTTCTATCTTGCATCGTGAGATGTATAATGATGTGACATAAATAGTGTCGATGAACTTCTATGCAATTATACTACGTCTAACAATCGTATTGTAGATAGAAATCCAACTATTTTAAAAGAGATTCGCATTCGTTTAAAGGTCACTTTTAGGAATCTTGCAACCTTGACCCAAAACTACAAACTTTGACTCTAGCTGCAATAAACATTTTCACTTATTCATTTAAAAAAAAAGTTAAATAAGCAGCGTATTTAAATATTTTCCATTTGACATATAATTTTCATATACAATCTAAAATTTTACTCTACTAGTAATATCTGATCACAACTAACTTGTAAATGATTTAAAGAGAAAATTAAATATTATACCTCGTATAAGTTAAAATTCCATACACACTTTTTCATCTATCGGTATATCAAAGATCGTTCCGTTCTACGTAGAACGGAACCGGACGTCCGTCATGATATACTATCGATCGATGCAAATTACCATTGAAATTGAATAAGCCAAATAAGTGTTTATCATTTTAAATACATTTTAGGTAATATTACCTTATTTAATCTTGCATTATGAACAATACTGCTATTAACGTTATACAACCCATCTTCGCTAATAACACGTATGCTGGTTATACTAAATCGCTGAAGGGGCGTTCTTATTTGGTTCGTTATTTGATCAGCGTTAGCGCCATCTATCGTATAGAAGAAATCATTAAAAGGCATAGACAAGTTTGGTATTGCAATTTGGTAGTAATTTTTGGTAGAATTACAATACCTGCTTGGCAACATAAACTGTGACAGTCAAATCAAAAGATACGTGACGGCAGAAGTGTTTCGTGTGTGTGTCGCAATTTTTTCTAAATACGATGAATATTAGCGGGTGTTAGGCTTGATTTCTATTTATAAATAATTATTTGTACATATTTAAGTAAAATGTTGTAAAGTGTTTTAAAATCTATCAAAGGAAATCTAAACAAAGTCGTCAAAATGGCCAAGTAAGTAACACAAATGCAATGTCGTTTCTGAAATTGATTCACATTAATTATGCTTTCGAAATAAAATTTATTTCGACTTCTTTTTATTATGTTCTCAATATTTAAAATGTATAATAAACGTTTTGGCTAGTGAGCATTAGAATACTGAATTAACAATTCAAGTTAATTATTTTTCTACAGATTCTTCATACGCCCAAAACATGTTGTGGAATTTAAAAACTACTTTAATTTACTAATTTATGACAATTAAAAAAAACTGCTATCAAATTAAATAAAAAATGCTTAGAATTTATACCTATTTGTATGTTTTTGGCATAATTTATGTACTTAAGAATGTAGAGTATTACTAAATAATATTAAAATGGGTTACTTATTATTAAATAATATAAATGCAAAAGTTTCGATGGATGTTTGTTAGAGTTTGTAGCATAAACGGCTTAACAGATTTAGATGAAATTTGGTGTAAATATAGAGAATAGTCTGTACACATAGGCTACTCACTTTAGTTTCTTTAATTCCACGAAGAAGTCGAGGTTGAAAGCTGATGTTAATATGAAAGAAGTAGCGCCCGGAATAAACCAGTGTATATTTGTTCTAGGGAAATGATGATAGTATTTGTGTATGACACACAATGCTGTGTGTCGGAGGAGGATGACCCTGCAGAAGCTGTGCTCTACTTTCATCCAGGCTGGGTGTCTGACACTCAGAGACATGCATTAGCAGGACAGGTATTAATACTTTTAGATCTTATTGACATATTTGTTTATTGAGAAAGTTAATTTTACCCTTTGACGGTCATAAGGAGTTTCTATGGTAGGAAATATGTTCCCTCTACTAGTTCAATTCTATTCTCTATTGCATGCTCTTCATGCATACAACCTATTTCATTACTGTAATTATATACAATAATTTATTTTTGGTAGTATTTGAAATAATAAACAATAAAGAGTTTTTTTACTAATAACAAAAATCTAATTTTATTTTTTATGAAAAGCACTGAAAAACAATATGGTAGTGAAATATCGCCTCTAACTTTCAAAGGATTAATAAGGATTTCTAGTAAAAATACTGACAAAACATAACTATTTATAGCAGATTTTAAATTTTCATTAGATTATATTAGATATTTTATATAGAAAGGTGCAAAATGTTTGTTCATCCTTTGAATCAATAATGAATTCATTATCTTATCAGATTAAACAACAACTCACATTAAAATAAATCACAGCCATTTATATGCTTTCATTGCCAATAAGTTTTCAACCATTTTAGATATAGCAAATGTTAATATTAAAATGTATGTTAAATTATTAGAATGTGGATTTTATAGAATTTGTGATGTAGGTGGTTGGGGCTGCACATTGCGTTAAGAGCCTCTTCTCCCAACCAGTCTCTATCACACTGCAAAGTGGGAAGTTTATCCTAAGAGAGTATGGCAGATATGTTCTGGTGAGTTATCTAATGTTTAATATTTGTTGTTCGTCTGTTATCAAATATCATATTATATAAATAAATAAAAAACGTTAATATTGTCTACATTTTCGATTAAGTTCGCACGTAGATTCCATTAGTCTCAAGGTTTTTATCACAAATACACCGATAAGTTATTGAAAAATGTTATATTTGTTAGGTAAAAATGTTTAAATTCTTGGAACTCTACTAATGTAATATGAAAATCATTACTACGATACAGTAATTAATTTTCTAATTTAAGGGAATAAATACCATTTATGTATGTACGAGCTTTCGCCCGCATCTCCGTCCATGTAGAATTAAAAAAGCATCCTATGTGGTCTTCCAGACTGTCCTCGGATCTATCCCAAATTTCATCCAGACTTCCTCTTTGGCTACAAATTCTAACAAACATCCTATCCATCCAAATTTCGTATTTATAATATGAGTATTTTTATTCTCATATCTTTAATTTCTTATTTTTATATATAAAACATTTTACAAGATTTGATATAAAAATAAATAAAAAATATTTGATAAAAAATAGAACACCACCGGCTGCGGAATCCGATGACTAAAGCAACCAGTGGTCAGGGCTGCAGACAGGAACCTCCTCACTATGCGTGCGGTTTCTTAAATAAACGCCTTTTGAATCGGGCCCTTAATTCAACTGTCTAGCTAAAACCAAAAAAAAAAAAACTTAATTCAACTGTCTCTATCTATTAGTATGATTATTATATTATTTACAAAACGAAAATAAAAATGAAAAAATGATTTATTTAAAATCCAACAATCATGTATACATGGAGGTAGAAAAATGTAGTTTATGGATACAATAGAATTTTTATACGTTGTGATCAGTGCCCTCGTACTAGCCGCAGCCTGTATCGTGAGGGTAACAAATCAGTTAACATTCATACATATATTTACGAGCCATTTATTTAAAAAATGCAGTTCTAATTTATACAGAAACAAAAATAATTACGATAAAACCGTACATCCAATAGTTGACCGCTAAGTAACATTGGCACATTCCCAACCCACGCTACGTTATTCGATTACAACTGGAATGTTAAGTACTTAAGTAGATGGATCCGAACTCGTAGATACCGGATTGTATCGTGCTAATATTTTATATTGAATATACATTTTACCAAAATGAATCTAGGGTGCTACGGAACCTTTTACATTAATATATATTTTTAATTCTGTTACTTTGGACGAACTTTATTAAATGGTAGAAGGGGGACGAATACGTACTAAGACGCTTTGAATTTAACCGTGGAAGTCCGCAGTTTTTGCTTCTTTCTTTGATGTCGGTCGCCCGCAAGCGTGGTGTTGCCACAGCATGACACAATTTTATTTAATCTATTTTCTACTATTATTGGTAGCTTTGGTAGTTTATTTATTGATTATTATTTACTAAGTCAACTATTTGATAAATTTTACATTTTAAATAATAGGCTTCTTTCGGATATTGGACCAAATAACTGGACGGCATCTCACTATTGTAAATGTGAAAGTTTAGATAAATGGATTTTAAAGTTTAAAGCCTAAACTTAACGAATTTTGATGAAATTTGGCATAGTTTGGAAAAACACATAGGCTGTTATTTTTTTAATCGTGGCTCAGACGTAGTCGCTGGAAAAAGCTAGTCATTCATTCTATCGTCAAAAATAATTTCGGCTACTCATATCTCCTTTAATTAGTCATCGAATGTTCTTCAAGTATATTTAAATAATTTAATTACCGTACGTTAGCAACCGGATTCCGATCACCGGTTTTAATTTCGAATAGATCTCAATTTTAATGTCGCCTGTGCAAATAATTCATACAGTTTCTATCTACATTGAATAAAACATTCACCCATTTATAAGGAACAAAGCTCTTCTGTTGTCGACAATTTTGTTACCCGTTCTTAATAAAGTCGCAACATAATTGGCCTACGGGAGACATCATTAAAACAGACGTAGCATTGTCTCGGCTTACGCTAATTGTAGGAAATTATTCTGCAAACAACGGAAAGACTCGGTTACTTAAATTAGTATTACGATGAAAATTTATTTGTACCTTTATTACTATAATCGGTTTTAGATCAATAACGATTCAATTCTTTCATCATTTTTGTAAATAATGTCAAAATTCCATTCGGGTTCTAAGTTTTTTTTACCCCACATGTACCCCTTTTGTTAAGTAATAAAAAGTAAACTTTACTTTTAGGCTATAGGTAGTGATCGTAATATCCCAGACTGGGTACTAAAGAACCGTGCGAGACTGCTCACCTCCATGATCAAAGTATACCACGGCGATATGCACACTATCGCCGAACAGATGGAGGACCCGAAAAGACTTGCGGAGAAACTCTACCAGATATTCGAAACTTACTTACCCGTGCTTCAGTATGGATGTCATATATTCCAACGTGTACCAATGCTTAGTCTGCCGAAGGTAAGTTTATTGGTTGTTTATAAATTTTAGAAAACCCTAATAATATACAGTAGAACCTCGATAACTCAAACCTCGGTAACTTAAAAACCTCTATAACTTCAAAAAATAGTACATTCCCTTCCTATCAGAGCCCAAAACCTCTATAACATAGACCCATGATAACTTAAAACCTCTATAACTTAAAATATTTTGTGTTTCCCTTGGATATTGATTTTAGTATATATAAGGACTTAGGGTCGGTTTACACAGACCAAAGAGAAGAGCAGATTGTTGCCGCGAAAATGTAACGTTATTGTAACATGGTTTTATTGTACTTTACACGTCTTATTTGCGCTTGTTCTTAATAAGAAAAGACGCGGAAAATATAAATAAAACCTGTTTTAAAACAAACTTTATATTTAATTAAAAAATCTGTTTTGGAAGTTCCGTATGAACAGACCCTTATACGTTTGACAACAGCGCGTCGCACTGTGTACCACTGTTTGCTATAACCACTCTCTTGTGTCCGAGCTATAAATATTTCCATTGGACAGTATTACTCATATGTACGAATGAAGTTACTTTGAATAAAAATTAAACTTTTTTTAAACATTTTTAAAAGCTAATTTACCCAAAATTAATTATGTGTTCCTTTGTGTAATACTGTCATATAAATTCCTTTATCGTCCTAATTACGAAGCTCGTTTGCCTCAGTGCGTTCTTTTCTTTTTAAAAAGCAAAGAACTGGAATAATTTGCCTGCACTAATGATTCCATTTGAATAGAAGGCTGATTGTACATGCGAGAAAAAAAGTGTTAGCATTTGCTTCGCTTGTTCTATATCAGGGAATGCACGGAAAATCTTTTTTTTATTTGCAAAGTTTTATTCTGTGCCATTAATTATTAAATCGTGTGTATAACGATTTAAGTTCTATTTTTGGTCTTTGATTTAGGGTAACGGTCGCCTTTAGCGAAGTTCTATCTTTGAGTATGTTTAAATAGATTTAACCCTTATGTGAGTAACAAATAAAACACTTTTATTAGAATGACGAGGTACTCGCGTACCTTCAAACAGTTTAGACGTAATGTAAACAATCAAGGTCTGTTTTAACGTGACCCACACTTTAAATGTTATTATATTATTTAAGCTAAACAGACGATATAAGATGCTTTAAGCGGGGGAGGGGTGGAGTGCGGTACATGGCAGTACGCGTGTAGCAACGAAGTTATCAAATAAAACCGCTTTAACGACTACGGTAGCCACTTGCACGATAACCGGCGCTATGTAAACAAACACATCTCACGTTTATCATTCGCATTGATAACAATGTTGAATGTTGCACCTTTATTTAGCTGGGATAGTCATAACAAATTGAATCTTAAAGGTCGGTTTCCACTGCATTCTGTACAGTATATTGTTATCAGCGCTTTAGGAAGGGAAATGTCCTCTTTATGTGCGTCTCCTCCGTCAATGAAGGGTAGGCAACGCATCTGCAATTGCGGATGTTTATGGGCAGCGGTCGCTTGCTCGTTTGCCACCTTATAATATAAAAAAAAAAAACAAAATATGTTCTTGTACCGGCAGTAAATTCAGATTCCATAAATCTCGTATCTTGTCATTTTTCCTGTTTTTAAATTAATGGATAACTGCTGCCATTAAACATTTCAAAACTGCAATTATCTTTAAAAATGCATCAACGTTCGATGTTTGATTTATTAATATTTTCAGAGCGCTAGTTCCGTGTACATGGAATCAATGCAAGTCCTCGAGCATTGCAGCAAAAGTGTCGGCGTGCTCGGCGGAATCGTACTCTACAATAACAAGTAATATTACATTTATTCTGAACTAGCTTTCGCCCGCGACTCCGTTCGCGTGGAATCAAAAAAGAAGTAAGTAGCCTATGTGTTCTTCAAGACTATCCTCTACATTGACGCCTAATTTCATCGAGATCCGTTCAGCCGTTTAGGATACAAACATCCATCCATTTCACATTTGTAATGTTAGTAAGATGTATAAATGTGTTTGGTTAGAATCATCGCAACCCAACTGCCACCGAGTCTGACCTCCTACTTGACGGTAGTAGACCCTTATCGAATAAAGTCTCCCGCGGAGACAGTGCAGACGGAGACGCCGCTGCCGCTCGGCGCTCAGCTGCTCGTCGTGTACGTCGCCAGGAAGACGTACGACACGCTGAAGAAACACGCCGATAAAATGCAAGACTTCTATCAAAATGGAGAGGAAATGATCGCAAAGTTTAAAAAGGTAAGAGGAGGTACAGTTGCACTTTTAAAAAAATTGTCTTGTTCATTGCAACGAGACAAATTTCGCTTCTTTCTACAAATAACTAATCAGATAGTAGTGAATGCAGACAAAGGGAAAATAATAAAAAATAACAAGCTGTGTTCACTAACGGACTTTTTTTTGTACAGACACATTTATAAGCTGCGTTGTATCGTTTTTGTTCAGTCTCGTTTCAAAATGCTCAAACGATTTTAGCTTTTAAGGCGGAAATCGCCAGTTTCCTCGACTGTATTTCAAAATTTTAATTCATTGATTCTGAACACTACAATTTACTTTATATTTGAACTCTTTTCTCAGATGCAAGAAGCAGAACGTGAAAAACAAAGGGAATTTCCACAGGGTGGTATGAAAAGAGACAAGTCTTTACTATTCACAGCCGTCCCCGAAGAGGATCATACTATGATATCGCCACCTAACAAGGAGAATACATCCGAAAACAGAAAACCCAGCATGCCAGATGTAGTGCCGTTTACCAACAAACCTCGTCCCAGACCTACCAAACTGTCTCTCAGCTTCAAAACACAGAAATCCCTCGACGAAGACGCGATGGAAAACGAAACGAAGTTCACAGGACAAACTAGTGTATGTTCTACTCCGATGGTAGAATACAAGAGACTTCACGGCAACATGTTATCAATATGCCAAAATCCAGATAATCAAACGCAAGAGAAATCACCCGATGTTGAACCAGATGTTTTAAAGAACATAGAGAATAGTGCCAAATTAAAAATTGAAAGTGAGAAGAGAGATAATAAAATGCTTTTGGATATCAACTGCATCGCTGATCACTTCATAAATAAGCCAGAACCGATAAGAAAATTGGCTAGTGTTATGGACATTCAGGAAACATTTAGAAAGATCTCCAACAGAGCGACGTCCAAGTTTAAATTAAAACGATCTCAGAATGAAGACGACTCGCCCGCGGAGGAGGCGAGGAGCCCCAGCACGCTCACTATAAACGATCCCTTGTTCCCCGTATTCCGGAACGATGGTGTTGCCATATCGGAATCGCTTTTCAACCAGTATCTCGAGCAGTATTATTCAAGAATGAATCAGGAATCTAAAGAGGAGAATATGTTTAATTTCAACATCAAACTAGGAGAACAGGAGAAGTTTGAAGACTTCGATTCCGATATGACAAAATCGCCTCAGCGAACTCCCAAAAAAATAGTAAAAGACAGTAAAGCAGTACCTAGCGATCAGTCTAGGCGAAAAGCTTTATCTCTACCTCTAAAATCTTTAACGGAGAGTGAAACAGCGATAGAGTCGGAGGCGGTTAGTTTTAAGAAGAAATTAACTGGAGTCCAATTAACTCCGTTGATGGAGAAGTTGAGTCACTTAGCGTTCACATCGGATAAGTCTAGCGGGTACAGCAGCAGGGTAATGACTCCCTTAGAAATAAGAGAATTTCTGACTCCAGCTGGGGAGCGTCAAGTCAACTTCTCTGACAGGTAAGATACTCTGGTAATTCAAGGTCATACAACTTGTTAATGCTGACTTTGACTGAGATGACGGATGATAGAGGTATTTGGAGGACGAAAACCCGGTACGTCGACCCTACGGGAGTAGGATATGGCAGAGGAGATGATGTTGGAATTTGTAAAGGCTTTTGTTCTATGACTTGTTTGTCGAATGTTTCAGAAGTAAGAGTCAGCGTGAGGAGTCGGAAGGTGACGGTGAGGGTGAGTCTGATGATGAGCTGGACGCGCTGCCGGAGTTCGGTAGTGCGGCAGTGAAGTGCGCGCTGTTTGTAAGCGGTTTGCACAACATGGCGCTGCTCGCGCTCATAGACCTTGCCGCAGCTGATAATGCGGATACTATTAATAATCTGGTCAGTACCAATTTAAACTATTTCGTACAATTTACGCGCCTAATTAGTTAACTGTTTTCACAAACAATAACAATCTATACTAACATCATAAAAACATTTGTTTTATGTACGATGTCCGTAATGACGGCATATTTTTGGACATATTTTTATTTGAAAAGCTACTACATTTGCGAAATTATTCGACTAAGGAACAAAAACTACAAGCCAATAGCAGTACAGAAGCAAGTTTTCCATGGTAACGGTATTTGTTATCCAATGTGAAAGGTCTTCGTTGTCATTTGTGCATTTGAATTTTGACATTTACAATTGAAAATTTCACAAACATAAAGACCTAGCGTTTAAGCGCGACTCCATCCGCCTATGTGTGCTTCCAGGCTATCCTCTACAACTGTACCAAATTTCATCGAAATCCGTTCATCCGTTTAGGCTACAAACTCTAACAAACATCCATCCATCGATCTATCCGCCTAAACTTTCGCATTTATATTAGTATGATAAAATTAGTCATAATTTCGTATGGATGAAGCCACAAAGAAACCGTTAATTCTTAAATGAATTGTAATTAATATTTTGTCCGTAGTGGGAAACGTCTCTGAACGCGCTGGGTCCTATAGAGCAGAGGTGCATGGAGCCGCTGCCGGGCGCGGCCGAGAGCAGCGACTACAGCCACCTCATGCTGGACCCCGACTGGGGCTCCGTGCGCAAGGGCGGGCCCTGGGCCGCCATGGACATCGCCACCATGGGACTCATACATAACGAATTTGCAGAAGACCCCGAAATCTCTGAATATATCCTGAGGTATGTTTTGTTTATTGATGACCTTTGATTTTATTTATAACAATACCAACCCTAATTTTACAACATCATTATTACCAAATTGTTATGGTAATAGATTTTCTTTAATTCCTGCTATTGTAGCTCTTTGCAGCGACCTTGTTGCCTTTTTAGTTATATCTTTTTATTTAGTAGTAGTAATAGAATTTTCAACATGGCCGCCAAGATTTTGACATTTGTCGCTGCTCTTACTTAATATCGACTTAAAGGTTGTTTGTCGCCCCTTTTTGCCTTCTTAAGGGGGCTTAAGTTTATGAGACTATAATTCGCAGATCTGTGGTGCAATTTGTCTATCGTTCTTCATAGTTTGTGTAATTTGTCCAGGAGCGAGGAAAGCGTGGTGGTGGGCGCGTCGTGCGGCGGCGGGCAGCTGTACTACCAGGAGGCTGGCGCGCGGCCGCCAGGCCCGCCGCCGCCCTCCGACGCCTTCGCCGCCGCCCCGCTGCGCGCGCGCCGCCGTCTGCACCGCGACCACTGCGCACTGCTCATCTAGACTACGGACCACCGCTGCGCAATACTCAGATAGACCTCGGACCACCGCTGCGCACTATTCAGATGGACCACCGCTGCGCACTACTCAGATAGACCACGGACCACCGCTGCGCACTACTCAGATAGACCACGGACCACCACTGCGCACTACTCATCTAGACCATGAACCACCACTGCGCACTACTCATATAGACCACGGACCACCACTGCGCACTACTCATATAGACCACGGACCACCACTGCGCACTAATGTAGACCACAGACCGCAATTCTGACTCTCACTATAAAACCTGGTTCACATTGGCCAAAACAGTTGAACAGTAGCACTCAAAACCTGGATCGCTGTTCAACTGGCATAATCTAAACTTACTGGTGGCAGTGAATCACTGAATCAGTGAATATTGGCCAAATGTGAACTAGTCATAAAGGCGGGAATACACATGCCAGTACCTTTACTTGGATACAAGTTACTGACATGACGATAATGTCATGAAAGTTATGGTTTTGGTCGATTAGGGCTACGAAACTAGTCACTGACACGTAATGTTTCGTGAACTGGCATGTAAACAGCTAACTCTACGTACATGAATCGGTTTTTAAATTGAAAACGTATGGAGTCTCGAAAAATGAAGTCTTAAATTTATATAGTATCCCGATGTCATAAGCGAAAATTATGTTTTTTAGTCTGGTATACAACGTATAATCGAATTCCTTATTTACTACGTAAAAGACAATTACCATATTGCTGCCATCGCAACGAATTTTTTATATTTAAATTTATACTGATATTATTCATAAAAAACACGATCGGCAAAATTTTCACATTAATACATTCTACGTTTTACTTTGTTTGTCTAGGAATACAAGACTGATTTCAAAACGTATTCACACTGCGCATATTGGAAACTTCATTTGCGCGTTATATTTGTATTATATGAAAAATTCTGTACCATTCCAATGCCGCCCCTCCATGCAAATGTTCCGTCAAAAATTAGTACCGAAAAACTCGTATATGCCAGCAACTAGATGCCTTTTATTCTCAATACTCTAGTGATTTTTAGATTTAAAACGGCGGTTTACTTAGGTCCCCTAAGGGCGAATTTTTTGGTATTTTCTATCTACTTATCTTTAGTAATCTTAATAGAATATAGTATAGTATTGGATTTAGCGTAAAACCTTAGGTTCTTATACGATGTAGAACCGATTTAGATTGTAAACAATGTCTTAAGGAAGGCATCCGATGCGTTTTTTATTCTCCTATTATAATCCGATATTCGGTAGTAAAGTTCAATTTATTATTAAAAATTACTTAACTGTCTCCTTTAGCAATTTTTTTACTGTTAGTGCGGCCATCTTGGCCATAGACAACATTTAGCCATAGTCCAACATATTAGTATTCTAGAATTATAGTTCAATATGCTCTTAGTACAATAGGAATTCAATCCTTTCCAATATCTGCCTCAGTTCTTGCTAACATTGTTCGTAAATCAAAATCATAATTAATCTATAGTCATTTACATGTCCAACACATATCTTCACGTTGTCCTTAAAAATAGTATTTATTTATTACTTAAGGTTACTTGAGATTCTCCCTATAACGCTCCTCTTGCACAGCCTCATTGTTCTTGATTATTTTTGAGGATTTTTACTCTTCAAGCAAGTCATTTCCTTGAATTCGATGTACAGTTAACGTCAGATAGTAAACAGGATATTGTCAAGGAGACGGCCTGTCCAATGCAATTATTTTTAACGTTCAAGACGGGAACAATCTCAAACATCTGGCGCTTACTGTACAAACAATTCCAACCCAAAACTTATAAAAACACATCTTGGTGTTGCTATTTAAAAAAAAACCGTTATAACCGGGTATTTCAAACAATTTTTTTGTGAATCTTGAAGTACAATTTTAGGTTAACTATAAAAATTAAGTTTTGGGTTGGAATGACATGTTAAAAGGGTACTTGTAAAATTCAATTCATACGCTCACTGACCTTGCCATTAGCTCGTAAGTACTTTGGCCACACCGTAGGTTGATATTCGCTAGTCTGCTCAATCTTGCCATCCGATTATAGCGTATAAAACAAAGTTGTATAATTATTTTAAGATAAAACGATATGTTTTAAGCTAGAGACCTTCCAATCGCCATATTGCTGCTTATCACAGCAATCATTTTAATAATATTTTGACATTCACTTACCTAAAGTTTGCATTAATTGATAATCTTCAAATTGTCCACACCAAGCTAAAAAGCTTGCTATTTCTTTGTTTACCTAGTATTTTGTCAATCTTGTTAACATTTTTAGAGTAAATAAGCCAGCTCTAGACCACGATCCCACCTGATATGGTACACGCTAGCTCAGAAACGAATCTTTACAATTTTCTTTTCAAATGACTGAAATATGCAGCTGGATTTATCAATGTAACAAATCTATGCTTCTCAGTATGAAAAAAAATACTTCATGAAAACAAAGTTTGTAGTCTAATAGTATATTGTTTTGAAATGCATTAACACATTAATATTCACTTATCCAATAACTGGCTTCGAAAAACTAGGCACAGTGGCTTATTCTACTTATCAAAGCAGAATGTGTGTCCCATTTGTTAATACTAGTCGACATTGAAGATTTCCTAAGCCACCTTCGAACATCCGTGATCGAAAATGGAAAGTATTTACTTGGTATATTTTTGTATTTTTTATTAAGATTGTGATAGTATAGACCGAGAAATATATCTGACCCGGTGTGTATAAGTCAAACTAAATTTTGTCAAAGAACTGTCTTGTCATTTTTAAATGAGTAACATTTTCTGGCAGAACTGACCGCGAGTCAGATATCCTCGTCGGTCTATATGCAAACACGACGTCATAGTACACGTCTTGCAAATGTTTGTGCAATGTTATTTTAATTTTATATTTGTTATTTCAGTATTATGTTGCATTTCCAAACAATGCTGAAAATGTTGAACATTCCATTTTTTATAGAAGTTGAACGAATGTACAAAATCAATTAATCTCGGAACGCGTCCAAATCAATATACAATTTATAAATGTGGTTTTTATACTCCGTCTTGCCTATATTATTTTGTTACCTATTTTTTTGTTATGACCCATACAATAGTTATGTACTATGTTAGTAAATAGGACACGGTAATGTGGAAGCTATTTTTAATTATACATAAATATTGTTAATAATTTTAATAAAAACCCTATAGTGGAATGCGTTTTTTTTCTACTCCTAAATATACATGAGGAAAAATAATGAAATATTACCATCAATAAATAATGAGACTATTTAAATACACAAAGTTACTATACGTATATTCCATTTGACCAATCTTAACCCCATAACCGATGTCATAAAAATGTATAATTAGCTAATAAAATAAATATATATACGTTCTATATATAATAATAATTTAAAAACCTGCTACACCAAAAACCTTTCAACTTTCAAGAGGCGGGCATGTTATTTGCCGATACCCAAGTAATAGACGAATGGGAGAGAGAAGGGATATATTTTGGATGAGAACGGGAAGAGAACGAATGAAGAAACATCGAAACGACGTTACAAAACTATCATTTATTCAACAAGTCGCTCACAACACAAATCTACACTAAAATTACTTCACCAAATCTATAATAATATATCATATATATATGAATATGCAGTAAATACATACTATGTGATAAATAAAATGCATATGGATCACCGATAGAGAGAGAGATAGTGCGTACGGCACAGACATAGAAAGTGTCGCCCGCGAGCGCGACTTCTCTCTTGAGTCTTGAGCGAGCTTCGGCTTCCCTACAGCGCACAAGCCGTTCGCAAACAAGTCAGGAGACAAGCTCGCGAACGCTTCGCGGCGCCGCCTGTTCTCGGCGCCCATCGGCCGTCCGGGAATTTCGGCAACGGCCATTTCAAAACGACTTTCTTAAGAAAAATTTTCGAACAACTTCAACACAGTTACGTTTTCAAGGAACTTCATCCTTTACTTCTTGTTTCAATACCTTTTCAAAACAAACAAAATCAATATTAGACTTATGTATGAACTTTATTAGAAGCTAACTTTACATTCTAGAGGCGATCGCGCCCTTACGAGGCGCGGCGCACTAACTTATACTACGACCCTTGTCATTCGACGTGTAACGGTAGTTACGAGCTAACAAAGAGAACGCTGACTGTGCGGCGCGTTGCGCGGCTAACACTTAAAACTATTACAGAGTCATTTCCATTTCAATATCCGTCCTAAGTCCGGCCCCGGCGGGTACAGTATAAATGCATTACGGAGCCGGTCACACATTTTGGGGTGTGTTGTATCAAAATCTATGTCGCCCAGGCCTCACCGACTTACTAATATCGACCTGCAAAGTCAAAGAGGAGCGTAACCAGTGTGTCACGAGTGACACGACACGTCTTTCTATCGATTTATCAAATCAAAAGTCACATTACACTGAGCTAAATTGAATCTTTTGATTGAAGAATCGATAGAAACAAAACAAACATTAATTATTACAATTAATACAATAGATACTTAAAATTTAATAGTTTAGTAAACTGTTTTCTACAGGGAACCCTTTCATCACATCTTTGGCATGCTCTCATTGCAGAGTGACCACATGCGGCTCTAAACACAATATTTACTTACAAACAACTTATAATTACTTCTATGGACATGCCAAATTTCAATTATTTTTAATTCTCCTATAGGAGTTATAAACAGTCCTATATGGTCACTGATCAAAATTGTACAATTTTAACTAACATAGGATAATCTATACAGATTAATATTGCTTGAATTACAAAGTTTCCCAAACCCAAATCACAACCTCAAAACAATATAGATAACTAAAATTACAATAATGGCAAGTGGTTTAAGCTCCTTAGGTATGAAGTCAACCACTATAAGATAAATTAATTTTCCATTTTTTAAAATATTTCTAGTGCAAACAAACTTCTAAAATAAAATCACAAGTCAGTTAAGTAAGAAATTTAAAGTCTTTTGCAATTTATGTTTTATTTTAATATGTTAAACTATCAAGCTAAGGAGCGAAAGCAGTCGACATTATAGTCAATTATTTCTATAGAACATGTCAGTTGTGTTGTCTACAAATCATTAGTATGGGACTTATATAAAACTGCAAATTATTTAGTACAATGTTCACAATAACTTCAATAATTAGGCCCCTACACATTTACTAGGACAAATTTAATATTTCCATTTAACATTACAGTTGTGTTTGGGAAGTTATGTATAAGAAAAATAGTAAAGAATTTTTTATTTCACTTCTATAAACTTATCAATATTACCAATCACAATATAACAGACATCAATGAAAAAAACAAAGCTTACAAAACTAATAATGTGGATACATACAAGAAAAATTTACAGCCTGTTATTTTGTGGCGGTATATCTGAAAATTATGAGCCTATTAAACCTCAGAGGCATTTCTGGGATGGACAGGATCATGGAAAGGTGATGTATTGGCAATAAGGAAAGATAATTTAAAACTTTAATCTATTGATGAATTAGTTTTAGCCACAAAATTTGAAATGGATGTAACCCATAAACATAATGTCTAAATTAATGAGAAAGATACACAAAAGTAGAAATTGGAGGGTATCATTTTATCCCTACAGTGAGAACTTAATTTATCTAGCAAATTGGAGAGAAGTGGACTAGTATTTTTTCTATAGTACCACTAAAGCAAATTAATAGCTGATGGTGGTAAAATAGTGAAATAAATTCCAGATTTTTATAAGAGAAGGATACACCAATGTCATCGATGAAGGACCCAATAACAATGACATGTAGATCCCAAATGCAATCATTTAAAAATGTTACTGAACTTGTGTTTATGTAACATTGCTATGACATAAGAGCTACTTAGTAAATCAACGGCTCTTTCCTAGTTTATGTTGGGTTTGGGTAGGGTGGGTTGGGTATGGGGTAGTGTGGGTGGGGTCGCCTAGGGGTGGTAGTAAGACTTACGCGGCGAGTAGGAGCGGTCGCGGTCGTAGCGGCGTGAGCGGCGGTAGTGCGGGCTGGGCGAGCGGTGCCGGTAGCCGCGCTGGTAGTAGTCGCGCTCGCGGTACCCGCCGCCGCCGCCGCCGCCGCCGCGGTAGTAGTACTCCCTACAATAGTACATTTTCCCGTCTCATAAACCTATTTAGCTATACAACAGGCAGCCTGCACTCAAAAAACTACTAAACTTCTTGCATACTATCTATGCCAAAGGATATTGATTACTAAATATAGATTTTGATCCACATATACACAAATGTATATGTTTTTATCGAAAAAGAACAATAAATATTAAGTTGCTAGATAATTACTGGGACAAAACAAAACTATAAAACGGTTTTTCTCATTCATCTAGATCTGTTACTGTTTTGTAGACAGTATGAAAAATCCATACATCTAAACATTTGAATTTATATTAATTTAATTATTAAACTTGGAGTTGATGAAAAAAGTGTTAACGGTGCATTTTATACATTAGAAAATTTAGTTACGGTATATTGGAATAAGTATGAAATTGATTTGAAATTGCAAATTTGTCACTGCAATGCGACTTAACAGTTTAATATTGAAATTAGATATGGTTATTTGTGTACTTTACCTATTTATTAGAAAACTTGACATTAGCTACTTTCAGAATGATAGAGAAATAGAGAAACAGATGAATTTAAACTCGCCAAGTATCAAGTCAATGTGATTATTACAAAAGAGGTTTTATATGATTATAGTAAAAAGCCTATACTCACTCTCTGTCCCTGCGTCTGTCATATCCATTGTCACCTCGGCTGCTCACACTGCAAAATATTCATATTTAATTATATAAACAGCTGCTATCTTTAGGGAATTTACTAAGATTGAACCAAACAACACAAAACAGCAATTCATTTAAAATTCAAACATGCATTTTTTTCAATGTGTGCCAAAAAGCTGAGCCAAAATTTACTTTGTTGTAATTCGGCTGAATTTACAATGTTATTTTAAAAAGTTAAACTAAGATGTGCAAACAGGCCTTTAGTGAGCTAACTTATCTCACAGTTAGCCCACTCTAAATCTGCTCAGAATATTTTACCACCCTTCAAATCTATGAATTTTGAATTCATCATAGCATCCATGAAGGTTTGGAAATAATTGCTTTGAACATTACATACCAACTTCTGAACATGTCCTGTACAATTTAACTATCAAACAATTACAAGAATAATTTCGATTATATAATACCTATTATATACTAATTCTGTCATATAAACAATTTATATACTCACGTCGGCTTGCCCATGTATATGCCCGGGGTAGGCGTGTGCGCGCGCTGCGTGATAGAGAAGTCCACTCTAATACGTCGGCCGTCTATCTCCATACCGGTGCATTCATTCTTAGCCACCTTCGCGTCGTCTTGAGACTCGAAGTAAACGAAACAGAAACCTCGCGAACGTCCAGTCTGATGAAATTACGTTATTACTAATACTACTAGAATACCAAAAAACAAAGTGATAACCTCTAAACCAAATTACTAAAAATGTGAAATATATAACATTACAAATAGACCTTTGTGAATATTTAGAGTTGTGATTATTTACTTGAGATAAAACTATTCTAAGTGTGATCTTAAATAAATTCTTTGGTGTCATAATTAATAAGATCTTAACATCAGGTATTTATTAATTTAGAGAATAATTGTATTTTTTTTAGTATGAAGTGAGAAATAATTAAGATACTTTGCCCCTTGGCTTTCTTAATTTTAGTTACAATTTACCGAAAGATAATATTGCTCCTTACTTGTGTCCCAACCCCTGATAAATCAACTTCCCATTCCAAACTCTTCCCTCTCTCTCTCATTCCTTGCTTGTAAGAAAAGGGTAGAAAGGACAAGACTCATAGTAAGCAACCATGCACACTCATCAGACTAAATGCAGAATTGCTTCCACTTGTCTTCTGTCTTGTTTGGTTGTAGTATTGAACTATGGGTAGATGTTAAAATGGACTCTACCACTGTTAAGATAAATAATGCAAAATTCCTTACCTTTGCATCAATGACAACTTGTACTTTCTCAACTGGACCAAATTTAGAGAAGATGTGATTTATTTGCTGTTCAGTTGTATACAGACTGAGACCAAATACTCCAAGGCAGCGGGATGGTGTTGGATTCTCCTGTCCGACAATGAAGGTGCTTCCATATTTTATAATTGTTTAGACATGTTTTTCATATAATTCATTCATAACATGATTAAGACTAAAGGTCCAACTAAAGACTATCATTTAGTATATCAAATAGCTTTATTTCTTGTAATTAATTTCAAAAGTGTTACAATTAAATTACATATTAAAAAATTAATGCCATCAATTTAATTTTAATTTATGAAAAGATAGTGAGGAAAACAGTACTCTGTATGTTTAGTTACAAATGGCATTAAAAATCATCTATACAGAGCACTTTCTAAGCCTACGAATTCCTCACTTTAAAGCCATGTTTGAACCAAACATATTGTCAGAAAATACAAAATTAACTCATATTAATCTTTGTTACTAATATTTAATCTAGGCATGTTCTCAGTCTCTGACCAAATTCATAGACTTTAAAATCTCACAGCTGACTGACATAATGTTTGGCATGCACATGACTTATTGGTATACACTGCTCCAAGTCAAGACAAATGTTAATTTAAAAAACATTTACTTAACAAGGTGTAAATTGTAATTTGTTACAAAATATAGACAAAACGTGACATAGACCAGATATATTTTAAGAATTACAATGTTAGAGATATGTATGTAAGAGTTTATATCTAAATTCGGAACAGCATACACAGACTATATATAAAAAAGTATTAATACAAGTGTCCTCACCCTATCTCCAATGTCACCACTCACCCTGTCTCCAAGATGGCGGCGCCTGGAGGACATAGGACTGTGGGAGTGCGAGCGGCGGTAAGAGCCGCGAGGGGAGTAGGATCGGGAGCGGCTGCGCGAGTACCGCGAACGGTACCCGCGCCGCGGCGAACCCGAGCGGGACCGGGTCCTGCGGTAACAACTTACTGTTTAAACAATATTTCCACTAAACGATAATCACCGTTTTTTATAGTAGAAGGGAAAACAAGCAGCGGATCGCGTAATTCTAATTACTCTGATGCCCATGGACTCAGAGGTTAAGCATTTAACGATCAAGTCCTGTGTTCAAGTCCCAGCAAATAGCAACATGTTTGTCGAATTCCATATATATATTTACCCAAAGGAAAAAAATCGTAATTCTAAGAACCAAATTTGTTTTCTTAGAAAAATATTGCATTTTATCTGTCAGAAAGTAATTAAGTAAGTTTATAGAAACACATGTTTCAGAAATTTAAAAACATTAAAAACACTCAAAGTGTACATAAAACTAGCTCGTAAAAATTGCCTCTTATCAGACAAATTATGGTTTGTTGATAAAGGCATTGGTTACTATAGTTATACTACTGTATTGATCAAACAGTTAGTACTTTAGTTTTTTATTATTCAATTTAATCAGTGTTTAATTTTCAACTAATGATTATATTCAATATTTGGTTAACACATGTGGTTGTGTTTAACTGATTTTGCTTACATTTAAAGATTTTTCAAAGAAAGTTGAATTTGCATTTTTAATTTGTAAATTTAACATATAAAACTAAATAGATAACTAGTATATTAAGGTTTATCAATACCATCTAGAGTCATTTAAGTTGACCTTGTATGTGGCCTCCCCATTATGTATATTTACATTTATTCAGATCTCAAGGCTAGAAACAAACTGTTTATGCATTCATATTAGTGATATCTTACAAAATACCACTATATATTTTAGAATAATCTAATTTGTACAACATCTATTGATAACAGACATAGTATGTGTCAGTTTTAGGAAAACAAACAAGCTCTGGAACAAATACTATAAGTTCATCAACTTAATGTTGTACCCTGAGATGTACGTCTAATTTAGTTTCTAGTGTTAGTTTCTTCAACTTCTTTACATAAAAAATGCAAGGCCAATTTTGGAATAAACCTCGTGCCATTGCGCAACCATAGTACCGTGACCGAAGAGGTTATATCAACAAATTAATTCAAATACTGGTATCAGCATTGAAATTATTACATTTATAGGAAACTAAGCGGTGGTTGAGAAAGTTTTCATAGTATTTTACTTACGGGCTCCTATACTTTCTGCTGGATGATTTTGGCGGAGGCGGCGTCCTAGACCGGCTTCGGCTATGACCCCTCGACATCGTCGGTGGCTTCGGAGCTGGCTCCCGGGAACCGTTGCGTGTCCTCGAGCGACTTCTCTGTAACACGAGCAACCCGAAACATTAAATTCAGCTTCGGTAAAATAAGCACACGGGGCACTAATGATAAATGTCGTTCGAGTTTAAATATAGTACCTCTCGATCAGACATGTCGATCACAACAATACAAGCAACAGGAATTAAACTGAAATATCACCACTGATCTAATTATAATTCTTGTATCGCGAAAATAAAATTTGTGAACATGAAACAGAACAACGCGGTTGAGCGAAAAACAAAATGGCGTCAATCAGACGTTCGTCAAACGGCCAAACGCTACGAAAGCGCGGCAAAATTTAATAAACAAGAAAAGAAATCAAGAATAAATTGGTGAATGTTGCCCTTTTCCGCGTCCCCTAATCGCCCCAATCAAAGCGTGTTTTTCAAGCGAAGATGCAAACCTGAGCGAAAAGATGCGCGCTAAAAACTAAATTTAACCCGATTGCGCATAATTTCAATAAATTGAGATAAATTCGCAAACATACAGTTTCTATTTATATTGTTAAAATCTACAAGATCAGTACAAATTATTTCTCAATTCTCATTCAAATTTTCAAAAATGAAAGAACATATGTAAATATAAAATACATCTCAAATATTAAAAAGAACATACAAACTATTAAAAAAAATTAAATGTAAGTATAAATTATGAAAACAATCCCAAAGATGTGTTATTGCAATCTTTAATTTATTTTTTGCAAATATTGTATAATTGAAACGTTCCAAGAATTGTCACTGTGACATTTTAATTCCAAATGTCACTTTTCCATTTCCACCACATCGTTAGATGTAGGATTTTATTTAAATTGTGCTACAGTTTACATAAATAACTAAAGCCATGGCTGATAATGAAGCGCAAAATGGTCCTGATGATCCGCCGCAGGAAAAATCAGCGAAACAACTGGAGAAAGAGGCCAAGAAGGCTGCAAAATTAGAAAAACTGAAAGCCAAGATGGACAAAAAAAGTTCAGCGCCAGCTGTTCAGAAAGATAAGCCCGAGGTATGAATATTAAAATATAACATTGCCTTTGTTTTATGCTTAGTATAACATAATCATTATTTTTATAAACATCCATAAAGTATGTGATGGCGATTATATTAGTATTGATTAGGTTAGATATCCTGGTGAAAGGATTCTGACGCGATTTGGTGACGACGTTGCATCATTAAATAACAATAAGTTAAATTATTTGAATTATGAATTAAATAATTTGCACTTACATATTGAACTTGTAAGGAATTTCATTTATTTTTAGAAAAAAACTAAAGAAACAAAAGAGAGTGCTGTTTATTCTACCAACACAGCTCCAGGCGATAAAAAAGACGTCAATGGACCGATGCCGGATGCTTACAGTCCTCAGTATGTTGAAGCAGCATGGTATGAATGGTGGGAGAAACAGGGATTCTTTAAGCCAGAATATGGGGTAAGTAAATATGACATTAATTTGATTTTTATTTAATAGCTATTTGTAAGAGATATTTTCGAAACTTTACAGGGGAGTATTTAAGTAGTCTTAATTTTCCTTTTTTGAAAAATAACCTAAAGAGACTTACTTTCCAATAAAAAGGTTCCCGAAGGTACATTACTTAACAATGTGTACTCTAGTTTTTATGTCTATGAAGTTGCTTATTATAAATAGCACATAGCCATGTTATATGTCTTCTTCTTCTTCTTAAGGTGCCTCTCTGACTAGCAAAGGTTGGCGGTCAGTTCTCCAAATTTGTCTTTATCTCTTGCGAGGCGAAACAATTGGGCGGCACTCGCAATTCCTGTCAACTCTGGGATGTTGCATAACCACGATTTCTTTTGACTCTGAGCTGAGTCTGAGCATGTGGCCGAGATACGATACTTTCTCATCTTGATGGTCTGCAAAAAAATGTTATATGTAAAGAGATATATTTCAGTAACTGTTGCTTTTTTAACTTTCATTTGTAAGTTAAGAAAAATTTAGAATTACTCTGCATTTACCGATATTCATATTTTCTTCCTTTCTTTTGCAGAGAAAATCTGTATTAGAGGATAATCCAAAAGGTAAATTTGTGATGGTCATTCCACCACCCAATGTAACTGGCACACTCCATCTGGGACATGCATTAACTAATGCTGTTGAAGATGCTATCACTCGATGGCATAGGTAAGTTGTTAAGTTATAAACTTAATTTGATAGGTATATTCTTAAGTAATTTCATTCTAAGTGCTACCAACACACTACACATAATAAAATATACACTAGTTAGGAAACTAGCCTAATACTATTACATTTTTTTCTAGAATGAATGGAAGAACAACTCTATGGAACCCTGGCTGTGACCATGCTGGTATCGCAACCCAAGTGGTAGTAGAGAAGAAGGTTTGGAGGGAAGAGAAGAAAACTAGACATGATCTCGGAAGAGATGAGTTTATCAAACGAGTTTGGGACTGGAAGAATGAGTAAGTACATAGCATTACTACTAATATTATTAATTTGAGATGGATGTTTGTCGTTTATATCCAAAATAAGAGAATGGATCTCAATAATTTTTGGCATAGATGTAGAATATAGCTTGGAATGACACAAAGACTACTGACTAATTTATTTTTTAATTCCAAGCTGATGAAGTCATGGGCAAAAGCTAGTTATGTATCCTTAAAAACAAATAAATAAACATCCCAAAAATATATTATTTCCAGAGATAATTAATTTTCTTTTACAGGAAAGGTGATAGAATCTACTCTCAGCTACGGTCCTTAGGTTCATCATTTGACTGGTCCCGAGTCAGATTTACAATGGACCCTTCAATGTGCCGAGCTGTCAATGAGGCATTCATAAGACTTCATGAAGCTGGGGATATCTACAGAGCTAACAGATTGGTCAACTGGTCGTGTACTCTGAAGAGTGCTATATCCGATATTGAAGTGGATAAAATGGAACTTACGGGAAGGACTATGCTCAGTATACCAGGATATGATCATAAAGTAATTATATTTTAAATCCTACTAATATTTGTGTTAGTGTTATTTTATATGTATTACAGTATATTACTAGTGGTAGAGCCCGCTTTAACATCTTCGCACGAATGGGCCGGCTCGCCAGGTGCAATACCACGACCACACAGAAAATAGGCGTGAAGTGGAAGCAATTCCGCGTTTCGTCTGATGAGTGTGGTGCCGGAGGCCTAATTTTAGTCCCTTTCCCTTTCCACCCTTTTCTTAAGAGGAAAGGATGGGAAGGAAAAGTTGATTTGACGGTAAGGAGACGCATAGGTAGGGGAAATGTCCTCTTTATGTGCATCTCCTCCTCCATCAGTTAAGGGTAGGCAACGCATCTGCAATTGCGGATGTTTATGGGCAGCGGTCGCTTTCCATTTTGGTGGATTCAGGTGGCCGCTTGCTCGTTTGTCACATTATATTATAAAAAAAAATCCCTTGTGTATTGTCTATCTACTCCTGTCCCACTAGGTTGCCTGTGAGATATTGCTCATAGCAATAAGGCCCTTGCACATATTTTGTATTAGTATAGTTTAAACATTTGTATTTTAATATTTATGCAAAAAGTATTAAATAAATAAAATAAATCATAAGTTTAGATGCATTATTTTTTAGGATACATCTCTGAACAGGCTTTGATTTTGATGACATTTAGTACAGGTTTAGGATATAGTCTGAAAGGCTACTTAGTTTTGATTTTTTTTTGATCTTTGGGATGGATTCATGGTCAAAAGCTAGTATTCAAATATTTTTAACTTGAAACAAAATATTGTTGACTTTTCATTGATTCAAGTTATATGAGAATTTATCAAGAATTAGTCGGTAGCCTACATTAACAAGATTCAGTTTATTTTGTAACAAACCTTAAATAGAGCTTGTCTTTTTCTATAATAATATTGAATTTTAATGGTAAAATGTTTAAATGGTTTTTGTATTTTCGTATAAATGTTTATTCCATGCACATTTGTAGGTGGAATTTGGTGTACTTGTGATGTTTGCATACAAATTGGAGGGTTCCAGTGAAGAGGTAGTAGTAGCTACAACCCGAGTGGAGACAATGCTTGGAGATGTTGCCGTTGCTGTGAATCCGAAAGATGTCAGGTATTTTAACTGTAACATATACACTAGTTTTAGCAACACTTAAGACCGATATGTATGAAATATCTAAGCAGAGTTAATGTAATTGTCATCATTAGAAAAATCATAAAAAAACAAATTAACACTAACATATCTTTTGCAAAAATATCGCATGTTAATAAACGTAGTAACCGGAGAGCAAGTTTACTTGTTCTGCCCAAAGTACGAACCAACTATGGCGTAAAAATTATCAATTTCGAAGGAGCACAACTTTATAACATATTACCATCCTCCATTAAAAATGCGGATTCACTTAATTTGTTTAAATTAATGTTAACAAAACATATATTAGAAAATTGTACAAAATTTATATAAAAAGAACATAGGCGACAATCAACATATTGTAAATGTAAATTCTCATGTAAGTGACTGTACATGTCTTTTTGGGAATGAAAGTATTTAAATATTAATTGTTTTAGATACAAACATTTGATTGGGAGGTATTTGGTGCATCCAATACTGGATAGAAAATTACCTATTATTGGTGATGATTATGTGGATATAACCTTTGGAACAGGTAAATATATGACAATTTAATTCTTACTAATATTATAAATGTGAAAGTATAGATGGATGTGTGGAGGTACACCGGAAGAGGTAGATGTTGAAAGAGATGGATAGCTTGCGTGAAAGGTGACATGATTAAGAAGAGAGTGATGACTGAGATGATGTATGATAGAGTTATTTGGAGGACAATAATCTGTTGCGGCCAAACCTACGGGAGTAGGATAAGGAGGGAAATGATGATAAAAGTTTAGATGGATGGATGTTGGTATATAAGTATCTCCAAAACTGCATATAAAAAATAATAGATCTTGGTAAAATTTGGGACATATGTCGAAAACGCAGACTATTTGCTAAGTTTTTTTTTTAATTAAGCAAATAACGTCCCAAATAAAAACTAGTAATATTATAAATGCGAAATCTTAGTTGGATGTATTTACCAATGATTATTAGAACATATTAAAGAATGGCTGAACAGATCTCTGAAATTTGGCACAGATAAAGAATATAGGAAGACCACATAGGCTAATTAACATTTTTTTAAATTCTGTATGGACAGTCTTACTACATATATGGTTTAAATGTTTTTTTTTTTTAATTAAAAGGTGCTGTTAAAATAACTCCTGCTCATGACCCTAATGACTACGACATCGGTAAACGTCACGACTTGCCCTTCATTACTATATTTGACGATGAAGGGGTAACACTCGATAACTGTGGACCTTTCGCTGTGAGTACATTAGTATACATTTTTGTAATCTATACTATTATAATAAAGCGTAACCACACACTTCTTTGTTACCTAAGATGTAAGCAATTACAGCATATTTTTAAATAACTCTTTTTTTAATAAAAAACCCTACACTTACGTCACGCTTTAGGCTATATATTTTCACGCCATTAAACTCAGGGGGTATATATTTTAATAATTTCATGCGGATGAACCCGCACGAGAACAGCTAGTTTACTAATATTTATTGTAGCAGTCTAACTACGTTTACGATTATAGACTAGAATTCGAGCTCTACTATGTTATAATCAATACCTCTAACCATTAGGCTAATAATGCTTCGATTATATTTGAATTTTCGGATTTTCTTAACTAATAAAAACTTAAGATGTTTAAATTTAGATTTGAATGTTGATATTTTGTAATTCAGCTAATTTTGAATATGTAATTTGTTCTATCTTACTTCTTACTTCTTACTAATATTATAAATGCGAAAGTTAAATGGATGGATGGATGTTTGTTAGAGTTTGTAGCCTAAACGGTTGAAGGGATCTCGATGAAATTTGGCATAGATGTAGAGGATAGTCTGGAAGAACACATAGGCTAGTCACTTTTGTTTTTTTTAATTCCGCGCGGACGGAGTCGCGGGCGAAAGCTAGTTATTAATAAAAATGAAAAAAACATTTATCCATCGAAGAGTTTACAAACTAAATGTAAATTATGTTTCCTTTAATGTAATACATACATACATTTGTAATAAAAAAAAATTAAACGTAATATCTATATAATTTATTATATTTCAGGGCAAGCGTCGTTTCCAAGTGCGTCGTGAGATCCTAAAGACGTTGGAATGTCTGAAATTATACAAGGAGACCAAGGAGCACGCGATGGTGGTGCCGCTCTGCAGCAGGTCTAAGGATGTCGTGGAACCGATGCTCAAGCCACAATGGTAAGGCAATTTATATTGTTTAAAAATTATAGTTAAATGTTTTTTCAACGTTTTTACGATTTAATGTGATACGATATTCTTGTCAATATCGCTAGTAAAATGTGACATGTGAATATCCTTGAAAAAGGCTCTTTTTTTATTGTTTTGAAAGTTTAAAGATACTGGTACACAATTGGAAAATTAATATTCAAAATTGATTATATCTACACATTTATAAAATCGGTGTCTATAAAGTTATAAAATTTATGTATATGTTATTCGTGAACGAATGATGTATTCGATATGGATAACATTTTTTAAAATTTTCGTTTGTTCCTGCTGACCTCCGTAATTGCTTTCCCGATTTTAATGTGACTTTCACGGAAAGATAGCTCATGTATTCCGGAGTGTTATAGACTGTTTTTTTTTAATTCTGCGGTTTTTTTTATAAATTCGCATTATAATTCGTAGGTATATAAAATGCGATATAATGGCCGAGGAGGCTGTTAAAGCAGTGAAGAGTGGTGAGCTGAAGATAATCCCGGATGCTCACGAGAAGACCTGGTACCACTGGATGGACAACATCCGCGACTGGTGCATCTCCAGACAGCTGTGGTGGGGACACCAAATACCAGCCTACAAGGTCACTCTGCCAGAACAGGTCAGTTGTACTAAGAATCAGTTTATTGAAACAAATAGTTATACAGTAAAACCTCGATAATTCAAACCTGGGTAACTTAAAAACCTCTATACCGTCAAAAAATAATATGTTCCCTTCCCAGAGCCCAAAACCTCTATAACATAGACCCTTGATAACTTAAAACCTCTAAAACTTAAAATATTTTGTGTTTGGACTTTAACTTATCGAGATTCTACTATATCAATCCTGCGAACGAAAATGGGGTTTATAGCTGAACGAGCTGTTGCCCGCGACTTCGTCCGCGTGGTATTAGAAAACATACGAACTATATAAATAACAAAAAGCTACGTATCCCTCGGGAACCGGATACCTCGGGGATGAAGCTTATCCCATGTGTACTCCAGACTTTGTTTTATATCTGTGTCAAATTTCAATAAGATATGTTGAACCGTTGCAGAATGATCGAGTAAACGTTAAAAAACTAAATTAATGAATCCCACGGGAACCGTAACTATTCCCGGGATAAAAAGTAGCCTATATGTTCTTCCAGACTATGCTCTAAACCTGTGCCATATTTCCTGGATATCCGTTAAGCCGTTTAGGCTACAAAAGCTAACAAACATCCATCCATCTAAACTTTCGTATTTATAATATTAGTATATTAGTATATAATATAAGTAAGATTTATTTTTAGGATTCCTTAGAATATCCAGAAATCTATTATCTGATTAGATTCTAGATGTTTATTAAATAAAATTGTTGATTTAACTAAATAATTACACATTTTTTAAATGCGTTTTTTTTTAATTCAGCACAGATGCGGGTAAAATCTTGTAGAAAATATTGGGGAATTAAATATGGAATCCATAAATAATTCTGTGAAAGTGGATATGCTTAAGTATGTGAATTCAGATAGGAAGGTTCATAGAGTATGGACGAGCAGTATTTATTGTGTAAACCCTTCATAGGAACAAGAGCAGGTTGTTAATTATAATAGAACATATAGGTTTGAATTTGAAAATCTAAACAGGTTTTTTTGAAGGAAGGAACTCATTATCATCTACATTTGTATTTAAATTGTTAAAACGTTCGTAAGACATTATCTATACTAATATTATAAAGAGGAAAACTTTGTATTTTTGTATGTATTGAAATAACTCAAAAACTACTGGGCCGATTTTAAAAATTCTTATACCATCAGAAAGGTAATTTATCTGTGAGTAACATAGGCTATATTTCATTATTACTAATGTATAGGAACTATTAATAAACAGCGCGTTTCTGGACGCCGGCGTTAAAAATTCACTAAATAACTTATAACACGGTTAAACTCACTTGACAACCTTCGGTGTAGGCACCGACAGTTTCGAACTCGTTAGGGGTCCGTTAGGTGAGTGATCAATCGGATATACTCGCGTTCGCGTCCTGCCGATCAGTGTCCGTATTGTATTGTATAATAAAATATTGTATGGATAGATTATACAAATATCCATACATAAGTTGGTGTATGTAGTGGCAAGGCGAGGTGGGCGGGGAGGGCGGGGCGGGCGGCGCGGCGCGGCGGCGGCGCACGCGCTCGGGCCGCAAGAAGAGCGGCCGCGTGCGCTCGCGTAAGCCTCCGCCCCACGCACCCGTACGTCTACATTCAAATATGCTAATGTTGCATGTTGTGTTGCCTACACTGCTTTTTATAGCACTTTCAAACTTTTTTGTTCAATTTAGGTGTGTCTACTGTCAAATGGTTTGATTTATTTGCGCATGTGTTTTAGTAATCCATCGTAAAAATTGTTATTCTAACAAATTAAATTGTTATTCTAACGAATGCAGAAAGAAGAAGAATTATGGGTATCAGCGCATACAGAAGAAGAGGCCCTCGCAAAGGCCGCGGTCAAGTTCCAAGTGGGCAAAGACGAGATCTCGCTGACAAGAGATGATGATGTTCTTGACACGTGGTTCTCTTCCGGTCTCTTCCCCTTCTCTATATTCGGATGGCCGGACCAGACTGAAGATTTGCAGGTGATTTTATCGTGAATTTAAATGTTTTTATATGTTTTAAGAGTCTAGATTGACTTATAAATGGTTTTGTTTGCAGGCATTCTATCCAGGTACTCTTTTGGAGACTGGACATGACATTCTGTTCTTCTGGGTGGCAAGGATGGTCTTCTTTGGTCAACGTCTCATGGGGAAACTTCCTTTCAAGTGAGTTTTTATATCTTAAAGATTGTTTTTGTATGTGTATTGTAAAGCTTGCATTATAACTTAGGTACGATTTATGTGTGCCGCAACAAAAGTAAGGTTGAGAATCACTTCTCTTGATGCGTGTTTGTTATAGAGAGATCTACCTCCACCCGATGGTGCGGGACGCGCACGGCCGCAAGATGTCGAAGTCGCTAGGCAACGTGATAGACCCGGTGGACGTGGTGCGCGGCGTCACGCTGCAGCAGCTGCACGCGCAGCTGCAGCACTCCAACCTGGACCCTCGCGAGATAGAGAAGGCCAAGTGCGGCCAGAAGCAGGACTACCCTAATGGGATACCTGAGTGTGGTACTGACGCATTGAGGTGAGAACTTTTGACAACTGGAGTTTTTTTATTTCAACAATACAAAACCATAAAAAACTAGTTAAATATACAATTCGTTTTAGCTATATAGTAGTTTAAAAACTAAAAAAATAATAAAAATACTTTTATTGTTGTCACAAAAACAGTTTCTTATGAGCTAAATAAAAAAAAAAGTTAAATCGACAACAATGGGCTGCAGGCTCAGCGTGGACCGCATGTCCTAAGCCATGCGGAGCTGGTTTTCAGCCTGCCAATAAACTATTGAATTTTTATTATTAAGCTTTCTCTCTCATTCTCTTATTCTTCTTTTTCTTTGAATTTATTTTATAACAGAGTAGAAAAGGATTCGAATCGTCAATGCATCTAAATTCGATATAATAACAAGGCGACCCATAGACATCTGGAATAGCAAATGCGTTTGACCGATCGGAGACGCACAGAACGGAAGAAGGGGAAATACGGGAAGGGTATCTTTTTCTGTAAAAAAAGAGAGAAGAGTTAGAGTTTACAATTAAACGCAGAATTTCGTTTTTAATCTTTTATTATATATTTCACACAGTAATTTTTTTTCGATAAAATGTAAATATTTATCTAAAAAATGTATTGATACTGCTTGTTTGAATTAAAATGTTTTCTCTTAGGTTTGGATTGTGCGCGATGACGCAAGGTCGCGATCTGAACCTGGACATCCAGCGTGTTCAGGGTTACCGTTTCTTCTGCAACAAGCTCTGGAATGCCACCAAGTTCGCGCTCATGTACTTCCCCAATGGCACCACGTATAAGGTCAGTACAGTGTCATATATTTGACAGGAGATTGGGACAAAGGACATGTATATTTTTCGACTTTATTATTTACTATGTAAAAAAAAACAATTGTGGTCTGGAATATTGGACACCATCTGCGTCGCCAATCATTGATCCAGGGGGGGGGGGGTTAATAGTGATAATTTCCTTTTAATCCAAAGAGAATGCTTATCAACTTATGTGATTCAATATTTTTTAATGAAAAATTTACGTCGTTTTGAGTTACCTATGTGAGTCGATATACCTAGACGGTGTTAGTTTTCTTGTTAGTTTAGATATCTAGGGTCTGGAAAGGGGGAATTGCCCCCCCTTGATACGGCAATCTCCAAAACTGTATGCATTATCATCTCCCCTTCTTTATGTTACTCCTATAGGCCCCACCAGGCTTTCGTCCTCCAGGTTATTCTTCCATCATCACCATCATTACTCCCTGATGACTGATCCATCCAATACTTGATGTCACCTTTATCATCTGTAACCAGATGCATACAAGCCATCTCCCAGCGCTGTCGGCGATGGACCGCTGGATGCTGTCGCGGCTGGCGCTGGCCGTGCAGAAGGTGACCGCTGGCTTCCAGCAGTACGACTTCCCCGCCGCCACCACGCACTGCTACAACCTCTGGCTGTACGACCTCTGTGATGTATACTTGGTAAGTTAGATACTCCACTAATACTTTACGATATAGACAGTATGCCAGTACAGTAAGTCAGTTGTACACTGGACATAGTATGTTTGCTCACTGGCGCCAGTTAGCACTTAAATTATGTTATACCATTCTGTAAATGTTTTTATATAATTTTTTGTCACTAAAATATCGTTCATTTTTATCTTCACACCATTGTAATGTATAGTGTAAACAGATTTAACAAATTTATAGAATACCACATTAGATATATTTCAGTCTCTCGATAGTTTCTCAATATCTAGTATTTTTTGCTAGTTTTTTTTTCTATTTTACTTTTTTTTTCAGGAATATCTGAAGCCGGTGTTCGCGACTGGGTCTGAGAGTGAGAAGGCTGGCGCGCGGCAGACGCTGTACACGACCCTGGAGTGCGGGCTGAAGCTGCTCAGCCCGTTCATGCCGTTCCTCACCGAGGAGTTGTACCAGCGGCTGCCTCGAGCTGATACATCCTGCCCTTCTATATGTGTTGCTAGTTATCCTACTGTAAGTAAATATGTCATGTTTACAATGTGTATGTGCATATTGTGACGTCATCACTAGTTTTTTGTAGCTTTTAACTAATGAGGTTAGTAAAATAAATGATTTTACAAATGTAAACGTTTCTAATCTATCTTTTTTTTTTATAATACGAGGTGGCAAACGAGCAAGCGGCCACCTGAATCCACCGAAATGGAAAGCGACCGCTGCACATAAACATCCGCAATTGCAGATGCGTTGCCTACCCTAATTGACGGAGGAGGAGACGCACATAAAGAGGACATTTCCCCTTCCTATGCATCTCCTCCACCGTCAAATCCACTTTTCCCTCCCATCCTTTCCTCTTAAGAAAAGGGTGGAAAGGAAAAGGGACTAAAATTAGGCTTCCTCATGTTAGGTTTTTGTTTTTTTTACATTTCTAGCTATTGACAGTATCTATTTGACAGTTTGTGATCAAAATTATTTTATTTTTTTTTATAAAATCTGATCTTTACAGGTCAATGACCTCGATATGTCAAAAATATTTTTTAAATTCAGTTAAATAAAACATTGTTTTAAATGATTAGGAGGCGGATACACCCTGGCGATCGGAAGAATTGGAATCCGACGTGGATACAGTATTGAAGATGGTCCACCTCATCCGATCCACTCGGTCCGAGTACAACCTGACCAACAAGCAGAAGACCACGTTCCACGTCATCATAGCCCCAGAGCTGAAGGTGAAGCAGCTGCGGGCGCTGATGAGGAGCCTGCAGTCGCTCTCCAACAGCGAGCTGAGTGACGAACAGCCGCCTACAGGGTGCTCCATACTTACCGTCTCTGATAAAATTGAAGTACATTTGGTGCTTAAGGTAATTTTAAAAACAATTTACCTAATTTAAAAGAACATCCTATCTCTTTTATATTTAATTTCGTATTTAAAAGATATTTAAGGTTTTAAGACATTAAGGTTGATGTTTTCAATCCGTTTTTTTTAATGTGAAAAGGAACTTTTGAAATTCATTTTGTATTTTTTTAATTCTATTTTTATTTTATTTAACTTTTATATCATTTGGCAGTGCTACACTATGTATAAGTATATTAAAAGGAGTGTATTATAATTTTACTAGCTTTTGCCCGCGACTCCGTACGCGTGGAATTAAAAAAAAACTAAGTAGCCTATGTGTTCTTCCAGACTATCCTCTATTATTGTCAAATTTCATCGAAATCCGTTCAGCCGTTTATGCTACGCTCTAACAAACATCTATCCATCTAAACTTTCGCAATTATAATATTAGTATGATTTAATTTTCACATTTTCATTATAACAGGGCCTGATAGATCCACAGAAAGAGATAGCTAAACTTGAAAAGAAGAAAGAATTATTGTCACAAACTGTTAACAAGCTCCAACAAGCGATGGCCGCGACTGACTACTCTGTTAAAGTACCAACAGAAGTACAGAAGAATAACAATGAAAAACTCTCCCAATCGCAGGGGGAACTGGAAAAGCTAAATAAAGCTATGGCAACACTAAAACTCATGTAATACGTGAAAAATTAAATGTTACAATACTTATAGTCAGACAAAGATATGCATGTAAAATGCGGACATAAGTCAATGTCACTTTTTGACGTTTAGGGGCGCTAGTGAACTGTCATAATTTATTTACGAATATTCTTGTCAATCTATATAGTACTGTCTTGTGAATTAAGTAGTAGTGATTAAATGCATTTTGTAATAATTTAAGTATTCAATTTGTGTTCAATTCTCAGACATCACAATAATTTATTGTCTTTTAATTTCTTTTTTCGTGTTCCATAAACAATCTGTTGAATGCATAACTGATATCGAAATAATAAAAAAGAATCAAATCTTTAAATATTGCAATGAAAAGTTTAATGCAATATACAATATCCAATGTGATGTACATTTTACTACTTCAATATTATTTATTTCTTTTATAATAAAATCTTCCAATGTATTTGTTGTTTTATTTAAACATCCCAGTATCGATTTGAAAAACCGAACATTTTGTAGATCATGGTTCGACCCATAATTTTTGCAATTAAAAACAGGCTTCACATAGTTTAATGTTTTGTTTTTATAATAACACTTTTGCCCGCAACTCCCTCCGCGTGGAATTAAAAGAACAAAAGTAAATAGCCTATGTGTCCTTTCAGACTATGTACTACATCTATGCCAAATTTTATCCAGATCCTTTAAGACTTGCGCTTTTATAATGGTTTATCGTAAACTCATTTTATTATTCCTTTGTTATCATTTCTGAACGATGCCAAATTGTCAAAATTTAATGTCAGATGTCACTGAATTTTAGGTTAGGTTTTAAATTGAAAATCATTAATTCTACAAAGAAAGTTGTTCATTGTTAGCTCTTATTTACATGTATTTTTTTTTACTTAGTACCCAATTGTTAAATGTTGCGGAAAAGAAGGAAGCTTAAAAATGGAATTTCCAACACTTGGAGAGCACTGCCAAAACGAAGAATGTAAACAAAAAGACTTTCTGCCTTTGCAATGTAAATGTGGAAAGGTGTACTGCCGAGAACATTTTGGTGAACATTGTACATCAGGTCTTTGTGAAATGGCTCCCAAACCTAAAGATGTCAATTTAAAAAGTGACGATGAAATATTTCGATGTTCAAGTAAAGGTTGTAAAAAGGGCAATTTGCATGAGATGTTATGCAGCAAATGTAATAAACATTATTGTATCGAACATAGGTTTCATCCGTAAGTATCAGTTTATATTGTCAAATATTCATCATATCTTAAAGAAGTTTGTCATTATTTATGAGTATAATATACCGATTCTCGTTTATTTAGATCATGTCCTGAAATAGATGACGAAACAATGGCAATGAAAATAGAACAGTACGAAGCACCAAGGAAGCAATTTCACGAGGCTAACAAACACTTGCAACAAAAGGTAAACTTTCATATAAAAAAACCATAAACATTACTTCAAAATTTACTACATCAAACTCTTTTTTAGATAACAGAAAATATAAGAAAAGCAGTTCAATCATCGGCAAAAGTTAAAACCGCAACAAAAATCCATCTCATGAGGATCAAACAGAAAGCCTTAGGTCCTAAAACAATCCCGGCTTCAGACAGAATATATTTTGCAATAAAGAAACCTGCCAATTTAGATATGAAACCTGTAAAAATAGTTACAGATGTCAATAATGTTGAATTAATTGAGACTTTAACATTGGACCCTGATTTAAAAGATACTGTCCCTTTATTTATTAGTTCAAAATGGTCTCTGGGTAGAGTATTGGATAGTATTTGTGATACTTGTAACATTAAAAATGATAACAATAAATTAGGGGATGCAAAACTAAGGATTTTCAGACAATTGGATGGATATTGTATCAGTCCATTAAAAATGGATGTAGAAATGAATGATTTAATCAGTAAAGAAATTTTATTAGAAGGTGACAAATTAGTTGTGGAGTATATCAGTAATAGTGTATTGAATGATTTGGATGAAAATTCACATATATTTCTTTTAAGTTGATATTTCCAAGATAATTTTTTGGACATTGATGTTTTAGTAATATAAAACAAGTTATATAAACATGTAAATTCTATTTAAGGTAACATAATAAAACAACAAATGGTAATAAATAATTGTATAATAATAATATCAGTATTCTTCATCCTAAATTTAATCCTAATTAAATATAACTTAACATAATTAAAGCACGACTTCTCCATTCTCTTTGCTGACTTGCGACTGCGATCTATTGTAGTCTATTAGCGGCATTAGGGGCGCGGGGGCGGAGGGGTTGGTCTGCGCGGTGGGGGGCGGGGTGGCCGCCAACTTGTACTTCTCTATCAGCCAGTTGCACTTACCCGTACGAGCGATCAGAGTTATAAGATCCCGCCGATACTGTTTTGTTAAGATAGCGTACAGGAATGGATTCGCACAAGCATTCAGCGGATAGAAAAACACTAACAATACCTTTCCATGACTAACATCGACTAGTGGTATACCAGCTAAAGCTGTGACGCCGAAGAACGCTACCGGCGCCCAGCAGAGTAAATCAGTTCCTATAAGCAACGCCATTTTGTTCGCTATACGACGCTCGGCAGCTGCTGCCGCGCCTCTACCACCGTAACTTTCGCCTCCTCCGCCCAGAGATCTGTATATCTGCACGTAGCACACCACTATCGTCACCCATGCTATAGCATTGGTCAGGAACAAGGAGCCCTGGTATACCGCGTCGCCCACACTAACGCTCTCCACAGGCTGACAAATAGACGTCGAGGAGTAGTCTGATACGCCAGCTAGAGGCAAACTTGCCATTAGAAGAGAGAACAGCCATCCTCCGAGCATTATCTTTGCCGCAGCGGCCAACGAGATTCGTCTCTCCAAGTAGATCGCGTATGTAATCGCAAACCATCTTTCCAAGGTCACAATCGTCAAAGTGAACACAGATAATTGACCAGAAAAGACGGATAGAAAGCCGGCTATCTTGCATCCGACGCCGTACTGCCAGCTGTAGGCGTAGTTGAAGAATTCCCCGTATGATCTGAGGTCGACGACCGCGATCATGAGGAGATAGACTCCTGTGCAGAGATCGGAGAAGGCGAGGTGGCACATGAGGAACCTGGGCACGGTGAGCTCGGCGTGGTTGGTGAGGAGTACCAGCAGCACGGCCACGTTGCCGACCACCGCGGCCGCGATCACCAGCCACACGCTGGCGCGCAGCCATGACCATCCCATAACGTCCTCGCAGGGGTTCAGTGCGTCAGGTAGTGGCGTGCATTCCACTTTGCGCCGACTGGAAAATAATATAGTTATAAAATTAAAACTCATATCACTGTAATATTTTACTTTGTTTCCTCGACAAAGGTGTTTCCTCTTGAGAAAGAGATACAATACCGTAAGTATGTATTTCTGAAAAAACAAAACACTGTTGTATATTTATTTCCACTTAAATTACCTCAAGCTGAAGTTCCCGCAGGCCGCGAAGTACGCGACGCCGTGTGAGAGCGTGTCGTTGACCAGCTCGTGGAAGCCTCCCTGCATGTCGTCCTCGAAGCTGCCCGTGTCGGAGGAGTACTCCTCGCTGCCTTGATCGTACTCCTCGCTAGTCGTCTCATCGTCGATTACCGTCCTTAAATACATCGTTAATAAAAATAATCTACACCGATATTTTAAAGAGGAAAGATTTATTTTTTTTGTATGTATTGAAATAACTCGACAACTGGGCCTATTTAAAAAATTCTTTCACCGTTAGAATGGTAACTTATCTGTGAGTAACATAGGCTATATTGTTTTAATTTCAGGCGGACGAAGTCGCGAGCAACAACTAGTAATGTTATAAATACGAAAGTACGCTTAGATGTATATTACAAGACTGCCTGGGAAAACACATTGTTAGACACTAGCTAGTATGATCAATATTTTTTCAAAGTTCCTTATGGCAAATTATATCTCGTACATATGAATTACCCATGTTAAGGCTATTGTTATCTATTATTGGTATATTATAATATGTAATAGTAGATTTAGCTGTACATGCTACGTCGTAGCACCAAGCAGTAAGTTTTGTAGCCCGAAAAATATCTCACGAAATTATAAATTGAACTTACTCTTGAGCATTTTCGACACCAAATTTATATATTTTGGAAGAGTTTGGGGATCGCCGTCGCCTTTTCGATGCAGACATTTGTTGGCACTTCTGTTGATAGAGAGTAGCTAATCTTAAAAAACTTGAGATGTTTAAATTTAGATTTGAATGTTGATAATTTTGAAATTCAGCTAAGTTTGAATATGTAATTTGTTCTATCTTACTTCTTACTAATATTATAAATGCTAAAGTTTAGATGGATGGATGGATGGATGTTTGTTAAAGTTTGTAGCCTAAACGGCTAAATGGATCTGGATGAAATTTGGCGTAGTTGTAGAGGATAGTCTAGAAGGACACATAGGCTATTAAATTTTGTATTTTTTAATACCACGCGGACGGAGTCGTGGGCGAAAGCTAGTTCAATTATAAACTTTCTTTGTTACCACTTAGTGGCAAACGAGCAAGCGGGCAACTGATATTGTCGGAATAGCAAAGCGACGCTGCCCAAACACATCCGCGATTGCAAATGCGTTGCCTAACTTTTATCGACGGAAGAGATGACTCACAGGAAAAGAATATTTCCTCTGTCAAATTAATTTTCCCTTCCTCTCCTTCCCTTATGAGGACTGAAATGAGGCCTGCGGCACGCATCATTGGTATCATTCAAATACAGGCTGTTTCTGAAGCCTTTTATTTCATAGATTGGATGCAAGTTTTTGTTACCTGCGCCATTATCGCCTTTTGTGTCTCATACAATGCGTGTCGCGCGGGGTTGTGCCGCTCGGGGAACGCGAACGCGCAGCAATGGAAGTGATGTGTCAGAAATGCCTTTTCTAGATGCTGAAAGAACATGAGAAATAACTACCAGGTGTAAAATCAATTTGCTTAATTCAATAATTAAGGATGGAACTAAACGGATATATAATTAAATCTTACTAAGGTTTACGGAAGTTTATACAAAACGGCTTAACGGATCTCGATGAAATATGGCACAGATGTAGAACAGTCTAGAAGAACGCACAAGCTACATAATTTTTTTAAACTCCGCGCAACGAAGTCGCAAGCCGAAGCCTGTTTGGTTTAAATGGATTTTTTAGTCTTTCTTACCTGAAATTCGTAAATAGATGGAATGTATTTAAGAGAAGGTGTTTTTTCTATTCTTAGTGTTTCTAATTTCTCTAGACCTTTGGTAGGTAGCGAAGTAATGGCTGTACTGCTGAGGTCTCTGAAACAACATGTATTGAAAAGTTAATTAAAGATGTTTTATCTTTGGTCTTGGGAATATTAAAAAAAAGATATCTTCAAAATCTAATTTTATAAATTAGTTCATCGACTGAATCATCTAACACGACTTAAATTAATTACGTTTCATTACAGCTTTTAAAATATTATAGGTTATAATAAAATGTAAATGAGGTTAAGATTGTATGTAAAATGTTCGATGAACAATTTTTTTTTGTCATTTTTATTATTTCAGTGTGTTTTGATGATAGAATTTCAAAAGCCTTTCTATGGTATTTTTGTATTATTCTAATATAATTATTTTTGTTAAATATAAACTACTAATTTCTACCGAGGTACATGTAAAAACAGTTGGTAGTTTTTAAGTGAAAAAAATAAAGTGAAATTTGAGGGTGGTAGGCATATAACTTGTACGTCGACCGGCGAACGAACAGTGTGCACCCGTTGTTTGTGAAACCTAGTGTTTTATTTCGTCTCCTCATCCCTTATAGTGTGTTTTTTTTTTAATTCATTTAGTCATTTAATTTTATGAATATACTTACAATTGTCTTAATAAAAGATTCCCAGCGAAGGCTAACTCATTTAACCGCTTCAGTTTTGAGTTGCCGCGAAAACTCCTGATAATAAAAGTAATTTTCAATTTTACAGAGTTACACCAATTATAAAACATTAGGTACACTGAAAACATACAAACTACTTACAATTTAGATATTTGAGCGTTTTTAAATGCGTGCGCAGGTACTTCTTCTATCAAATTGTAGTTTAACGAACTGAAAAAGAAAAAAACATCTTTTTTTTGAGTCGACTACAGAAACAAAACACTGTTTTAATTCAAACTGAAAATCTTGAATTACGGCTCATATCAAGAAAACAATATCATAAACTTCAACTTTATTTTTAAAACACTAATAGTGTAAATCTAGATAAGGCAAAATATGCGTTATAACAAAAATTAGCATATTATGACATTACGTTGAGTCAGTAATTGCTTAATAAATCATTCAATACTTATTACTTTCACGATTGCGACAAAAATAAGATTTTCATCATATAAAACGTAAATTGAAGAAAGTTCCCGAATTCCTTACAGGCACATATATTTTAAGGTTAAGCAGAGAAACGTCAAAATACGTATTCATGGCGGCTATTACCTTACTTCACTTACTTAATTATTTTAAAAAATTGTAAGATAAAGTACAATTAAATTGTAAAACAAGGGTATCTAATGTATCAAATAACTAATGTATAAACAAATTTTAATAGTAATAATATAGCAAATAAATGAAACAAAATAAAATAGCGTAAGATTTTATACCTATTGACTTACACTTGGTCAGCGCGGACTCGAAGCGCGTGCGGAGGGATGCGTTTGATGTGGTTACCCTCCAAATCGCTGAAAAACAAGGATACTTCATTATTCGCAACATTAAGCGGTTTACACTTGAGTAGGACAGTTGTAAGCACTCACTGGTGTGAGTTAATGCGCACTTCAACAATTGTTCTGGCCATATGCGAACCGCGCATGAAGGTAGTCAGAAAATCTATATAAAGTGACTTTGAAGAAAAGCGTATTTTTTGTTGAAAAACATTATTATTTTTGCTTGCTAATATTATTTAAAAGTACATTGAAGATCGATTGTCTTTAATAAGTAAGTAAATAAAAAAAATTGTTACTTACATGGCTTGTAAATAAGGTAGAGAGGTGTTCACTTTGTTGGTGTCGTGGACGTGGCTTAGATTAGGCACCTCCAGCAGCCCCGATGTTGTTATGATGCTATACAATGGTAATTTGCGTTTAAATATACACAATGTTTTCATTATTACATCTAAGTTAGTTAAAATAAAAAAATACAATGTTCTTGTTCGGCTGATTCACTGTATTCGTTCATTCATTCGGTCTATCTGTCCCCGTTCATTACTTTTTAAAAAATAAAAACATTATGAATGAATTATTCATTCATTCATAATCGCCAATATACAGAATTAACTTTAAGTTGTACAATAAATTAACGATTACTATACTGTTTTAAAGCCCGTATAACAATTATCCCCTCTTCTGTCGTCCTTTCCACACTCCTTAAATCAAAGAGGGATAACAATATCATCAGATTTTATCATTCAACTGTTGGACAGTGGCCATAATCTTTCTAATATTATAAATGCGAAAGTTTGGATGGAATGGACGTTTGTTGGGGTTTGTAGCCTAAACGGCTGAACGGATCTCTATGAAATTTGCCATAGACGTAGAGGATAGTCTGGAAGAACACATGGACTACTTGCTTTTGTTGTTTCTTATACCACGCGGACGGAGTCGCGGGTGAAAGCTAGTTCTATATATTTGTTATGTTACACGCATGAGTCATTGTTACCAAAATATTAAAAGAAACAAATACACATAGCAACATACATACGTACAAAGTGCGTAGCTCTGGCAGTGAGGGCAGCGTGGGCACGCGGTGCAGCCGCGGCGCCTGCGTTATGAAGCTGTAACGTAAACAATTTCTATACATGGAAGTCGCCAGCTGATGATAAAGGGGCGAATATCAGATCAGTAAAGACAATATTTTGTTCCAAAGATAGCTAAGAAGCTTATTGATATTGGGTCCAATTTTTAATGAAAAAATTACAAGTCTTTAAGTTATCTATGTAAATCTCTCATGATTATAGGCATCTTAGTGATGTTATTATTTTACAATTTTCGACTGTAAGGGAGAGGGCAGCTGACCCTCCCAGTCCTTTCCTGGCGATGCACATTTTTCAATACATATAACTGATTATTAGAACACTGTTTCATCATCATCATCACCCCTGCCTTATCCTACTCCCGTAGGGTCGGCGCACCGGGTTCTCGTCCTCCAAAGCACTCTATCATACGTCATCTCAGTCATCACTCCCTTCTTGATCATGTCACCTTTCACGCATTCCATCCATCTCTTTCTAGGTCTACCTCTACCGATGTACCCCACCACATTCATAACTAACATCCTTCTTGTTACATGCGATTCATCCCTTCTAAACACTGTTTGATAATTTAAATCAACCTGACTGACGTATTCTAATGAGTCAGTTCAATTTAACCGAAGCGCAGAAAACAATTTAAGAAAACATGTAAGCTGGTTTATAGTATTAGTGCTGGTTCAAATATTAAGAATGTTAAATCATACACAAATGGCGAGATAAAAGAATTAAAGCCATAAACGTTGATATGAGTGTGAGATAAAAATGTTTACGATATCTGGTGGGGGTTGTTGCTAAGAAACGGATGACGCATTACGGAACTTTGTACTCGTAACTTTATTAAAATACTTCTAAATCCGTTTTAGTCATATGTTTTTATTTACACTAATAATGAAGATAAGAGTCAATGTACCAATAGTTGAATTTAGTTGCTTTCTAAGTTACTAATATTGGATGGATAAATGTTCGTTGGAGTTTGTAGCTGAGCGGCAGAAAAACGGCTAAACGGATCTCGATGAAATTTTGCATAGACGTAGAGGATAGTCTGGGAGAAGACATAGGCTACTCACTTTTATTTTTTGTAATCCTACGCGGATGGTGTCGCGGGCGAAAGCTATTTTACAATAAAATACTTACAACGACTTAAGATTAGGCATCTTGCTCAGATCTTCAACGACGATGTGCTCCAAATTCGGTGCGTCCATAATAGATCTGCAAATAATGTAATGTAAATATATACAGAAATCTAACAAAGGCTTAAATGTGGTCCATAATTACATACAGATGTTCGACATGGTGCAAATGGTAGCCCGCCGCGTGTATGACCCGCGCGGTCAACTTTGTAATGTTAGTCTGGACCAGGACCACAGACACTCCGCCAACAACATCTCCATGAATTGGTCTTCCCACTGAAACAAAGATTTGAACATTGAATATAATTACATCTTAATAGTGGTAGAGCCGCTAACATCTGCGCAAATACAGAACCATACAGAAGACAGACGTAAGGTGAAAGCAATTCTGCGTTTCGTCTGATGAGTGTGCGTGCTGGAGGCCTAGTTTTAGTCCGTTCCCCGTGCCGGAGGCCTAGTTTTAGTCCGTTCCCCTTATAAAAAGGATGGCTTTTTTATAAGGAAAGGATGGGTAGCGACTGGATTTGACGGTGGAGGAGACGCATAGGAGGGGGAACTATACTCATCATGTGCGTCTCCTTCGTCGATTAAGGGTAGGCAACGCATCTGCAATTATTAATATCTATGGGCAGTGTACACTTCGCTTTTTCGGCGAATTCAGATGGCCACTCTCTCGTTTGCTATCTTATCATATAAAAACAAACCGGTCTGTCTCTATAGTTGTTAAGTTAATTGGGTTTAACCTTTGTGAAAACATAATCTGCTAATTTTAGAGTAACGGTTGCAGTTGATTCTTTGAAATGCGCTAATTATTGAACTTTGTAAATGGAGCATCTCAACGTAAATACAGCTCGGCATTGACCGCTCCCGTGAGATTTCGCAACGCGGCGTCAAGTGACCGCACGCACGTCACTTGTTTCAGCTAGACTGGCATAAAGATCAACGAAATGTACAGACGCGCGCTTTCAAATAGTTTTGACTGTCTAATTTATAGCACATACGGCACGTATAAGAATATTTTGAATACAAACGAGCGTCAAACACTTATTGTTTTTTTTAATGATTCGGTATTTTTAGAATTTGATGTATCTTTGACCTCTGAACACCCCTGACGTGTGACATCGTAAAAGTTTGTTAACTTTATATGTAACAATCACGAAATGCTATCCCAATGCAAGTTTATTAACGCTGTAAATGTAAAACATCAAAGGAAAGGAAATTATGTTTTCAAATATTTTGACGTAGTGGAAATTACGACGTTTGAACTGAACCAACAATACACTACCCATTTTGAATGAATTAAAAAAAACAAACAAAAAAGTTCTTTCAGACTTTGCTCTACATCTATGCCCAATTTGATCGGGTTCTGTTCAGCCGTCTAGGCGCTAAACTCTAACAAACATCCTTCACTCATCTAAACATTCGCATTTATATCTAGCTGTTCCCGTGCCGCTTCATCCGCTTGAAATTATAAAAACTTATTGTTGGCAATTGTCAAATTCTCAATTTCAAATGTCAAAATTACCGTTACCATAATAAACTTGCTTCTTTAATGATGGCAGCTTGTAGTTTATGGTCCCTCAACCACATGTTGGTTTTTTCAATTTATCTACCCCCTAAGTTTATAATCGTGAAAATACATAGTCTAAAGCGTGTCGTAGGTGTAGTGCTTTTTATTAAAGAAATATTTATTGAAAAATATGCTGTGATTGCTGACATCATACGCTACGAAGTAGTGTATGTTTACGCTTTATTATATTAGTATATATAAGTATAAGTATAGATTAGTGTTATTTTTGTATATCTTTCATACATTGTAGTCATTAAATAACTACATGTTTGGAGAATTAGCCGCAACGTTAGTATACCCGCTTTATGATGGCAATTAAATAGTCTTCTGTGGCTATATATCAAAGTGATTGCTAACTAATTGTATTGTTGCCACTTGCCACTGACTGCTCTTCATATAAACAAAAGTTATTTCGATTCAAGTCATTCAATCATCATTTCCCGTGCCTTATCCTACTCCCGTAGGGTCGGCGCACCGGGTTTTCGTCCACTAAAGCACTCTATCATCCGTCTCAGTCATCACTCCCTTCTTGATCATGTCACCTTTCACGCAATCCATCCATTTCTTTCTAGGTCTACCTCTACCGATGTAGCCCTCCACATTCATAACTAAAATCCTTCTTGTTACATGCGATTCATCTCTTCTCATAACATGCCCATACCACTCAATACATACATATATACATACACATACATCAATGTCGTTGGTTAGCATATGTCGTCATCTGGAAGAATGTTGAAGTATATTATAGGGTCACCTTAGTGATGTTTAAATGGACTTTATAAATGGACAGGATAAACTGTAGTATTTTATGCTTATTTGATTTACGCTATTTTGGCGCTGATGGTTGTGGTTGATAGTCGTGGTGAGAATTAAAATTAATATTAGAGATAGAATTAACTTCAACGGGCACGCAATTGGGAATGACAGATAATTTCCATGCAATGATCTATCTATTTATACAGATCAGTGCTTATTATGTTGAATGGATTTTGACATAGATATATAGTTATAGTTTTCAGAGCGTCGGTGGCTCAGTGGTTTGAACACTTGACTTGTAATCTACAGGTCTTGGGTTCGAATCCCGCCATGTACCAATGTGATTTTCGATTTTTCGAATTTTCATATGTACATAATTTACCCGACGTTCTTACGGTGAAGGAAAACATCGTGATGCAACCTGCACATATCGGCGAAGAAATTCAAAGATATATGTGAAGTCAACCAACCCGCAGTTGGCCAGCGTGGTTGACTATGGCCTAGTCACCCTAACTTAGGGTAGGCTGCGAGCCCCTCGGTGGGGACGTATAGTGAGCTGGTGATGATGATGATATAGTTTCAAGTACTATTAGTAAATAAATAAGTTGTACAAACTATCAATGGCGAGTAAAAAATAAACGATCTAGAAAATAACACTGTTTTCTTGATAAAAAAAAAACTAAAGCAGACAATTTTAATGACCAACATAAAGTGCATATTTCGCTATCCTCTTATCTCGTATGAAGTGGTTACGTAGTTTTATTTAGAGTGTTGTAACTTTATAATCGCATTTACTCTCCTCTTGAAGACACCCACATTGTGTTGTAATGGTAACACTGACGCACGTAAAGTATTCCAGTTTTCAGTGTGGAGTAAATGACTAATATGTACGGACTGTTTTCTAGGTAGTGACCTTTTTCTTTACTTAGAGCGGGCGCACAGGCGGGCGAGGTGCGATTGTCGATTGTTTCATAGCCAATTCAACTGTTTAGTTCCAAAATAATCGAATAGTGTGCGCTTTATATACGATTATAGTAATCAAAGGGGGACTAAACAGTTATGCGATAGGTTAATTTTTTTTTTTTTTATAGCATAAGGTGGCAAACGAGCAAGCGGCCACCTAAATCCGTCAAAATGGCGAAGCGACCGCTGCCCATAGACATCCGCAATTGCAGATGCGTTGCCTACCCTTATACGACGGAGGAGGAGACGCATATAAAGAGGATATTTCCCCTTCCTATGCATCTCCTCCACCGTCAAATCCACTTCCCCTTCCCATCCTCTCCTTATAAGAAAAGGGTGGTAAAGGGAAAGGGACTTAAATGAGGCCTCCGGCACCACACTCATCAGACGAAACACGGAATTGATTCCATTTCACGCCTGTTTTCTGTGTGGTCGTGGTATTACACCGGGCGTGCCGGCCCATTCGTGCTAAGATGTTAAAGCGGGCACTACCACTGTAAAATTATAATATGTATAATTTCAGGTGTGTGCACTCAACACCGTTTAGATATAACAATTGCTTAGTGTACAGAAAAAAATAATGGTCAAACTCTATCCAAAGAGAAAAAAAACTAATTAGTTACTTCATGATTTTTACCAAAATTATTTCAGTGTGTAGATTTCTTAAAAAACGGATGCAAAGTTTTTATTTCAAAGAAAATAACGCGTACTTATACAATACGACAGAATTTCCACTATTTCGCACATTCATCATCATCTAAAATATATCCGAATATAACCTAAAATTAGATTACTGAACTTTGGTTTGGTAAAAACTATTGTCATTACCTTGAAAGTATTTTGAAATGTGTAAGGAATCCGTGTAATCCAATGATAATTGGTGTTATCAAGTGATATTGTGCTCGATACCATCTGTTGCTACCCGCGATACAATTATATGATATGTCCTTTAGCCTCATTTGGGAATTTACAATTTTAAAGATAGATATGATCAAATAGGCCAGTAGTAAAAACACTTTTTTAATTCCAAAGAGATTACATATCAATATGTCATCCAATTTTTTTTTTAATAGTTGACGAGTTGTTTTAAAGTTATCGAGATTAATCTCTATGGCACCTTAATATTTTGAATTACAATTTACAATTTTTGACTCAGAAATGGAGGCAGCTTCCCCCTCTCACATAACGAGGCCCTTGGATATGACGTTACCAGGGCCTGTCCCACAATTCTAGTAAATTGTCAGATAACCTAACGTATAAAATATGTGATGGAAATACATATCGGATTTTGGTACTCTATCTGACAGTGACGTCACTTAAATGCTATCTGAGCATCTATCAGCCAGTGGTGGGACAGGTCCTTAGATGAAAATCACAATCACTAATAACAGGAATTAACAAAAAAGTAATGAAACATTTTATAAATTGGAGTGCAAAAAAAATTGTTACTCTTCCTACGGACGTAAAAACCGGTGAACATCAGTTGTTATGTCAATTAAAAGTGTTATCAGTTACACATCGAATATAATCTTGATAAGGCGACGGCAAATTTGATAGATCGTACACTCCAAGACCGAGGCCATATTTCTTTTAGATTAACTGCTGACTCTTGTCTGTTCAGACGATACTTCTAATGAGCAGGAAAAGATGCAATTAAAAATGTTGCTGGCTTTACAGACAAAATACTTCTAAACAACTAAACGGTTAAATTCTATTTACTTAGCGTCTAACCTAAAAGTTGTTTTAATAACCAATGCATTGTGAATTTGTTGTTAGTAAAATGTTTGATAATTTATTGAGTAGCTTTTGTCTATCGTCACAAAGAAGAGTTATGCGTGGATCGAAACATTCAATTGTTATTTCTCACTAGCTGTTCCCGTGCGGCATCCGCATAGAATTATGAAAATTTTATTTTATTGTTTACATTTGTCAAATTATTAATAGCTAATGTCAAAATGATATGACATGACAAACCTTGGCAATC